GAGGGCACAGCCCAGGGCGGCCCAGTTCTTCCCCTCTTTTATGGGTGAGATTGCGGAGGTTCTCCCCGCCAAATCCTTCGGCACCCGTACGCTCATACCTGCTGCCGTCAGCAGCCAGCGTGGCCCACAGGATTGAGGGGGCCAGCTCGGTCCTCGAGGGTCCACGCTCCTTCCAGCACAGGGCCGGGCTCCCGCGCCTGCCGCCCACCACGTAGGCTGGTGCTGCCAAAGCACCCACGCAGGCTCCGAAATAAAGGCTGGCTCTTCCCCGCGAGCTGGCTCCATGCTGCGGGCCCAGCTCAGCTCTGCACACGTGGTGGGAGAGAGCAACACGAGCGAGATGTGAACCGAGTAATACCACTGCCACAGAAATCAGGTCTCTGGGAGCGGTTCTGTGTTGTCCCTGTGTGCCTGGGATTTATTCTCTGCTCTGGCAGGGTACGTTTAGGGAAAAAGGGAGGAGGTTATTTCTAAAATCTAGCTTTAAATGCGATTTCGTCATCTTTTGCCTGGGACCTGCCACGTGTCACAGCTGCCAGATAATTTCCGTGCGAACCACCTGTTCTCAGGCACTCGTGCGTTTCTGAGCCAGTCACCCTTTTGGGCAGCATCTTCCAGCCTTGGACTCCTTCCAAACGTGAACGCGGCGCGTGTGCGTGCGCGCGTGTGTGCGTGCTACAGCAAAATCCCTCCAGGCGTTGTAATGGAATTAGAAGATTCGCGTGAAAGAGCATGGCTGTGCCTATGCAGGAAATCGGGGAGCGGGGAGGGTATTTACCTCTGGGGGTGCGTGCATCCTTCTCAAAGGCACACGTGCAGCACTGGCACCCCACTCTTGCCCGCCAGCCCGTCTCCCTCCTCACCTTTCCTTTCAGCTCCCTGGTGCTGGCGAGGAAGTTCCTCTATTCTGTTGCGCTTTATTTTTGGTTCTGAGCTGCGCTGCGAACCACCGCACAGTTATTGCTCCCTGCCGCCTGCATCTTCTCCCTGCAGCATCAGCTCCAGGTCTTCTTTCTCCAGGGAAACCCGTCTCCTCTGGGTACCTGGGGATCAGCGAAGATGAGCTGTGTGGAGCAGATGGCCCCTAATGACCGATTAAACAGCCGCCCTGGGAACAGCCCGGGCGCAGCAGCGGAGGCTGCAGGTGCTGGGTTGCCAGGGGAAGGTCGGGCTGTGCAGCCTGGCAGCTCTTGGCGGTCACCCAAGGGGGATAGCAGAGGGGCGAGTGTGCCTCTTTGATCTTTACCCGTGGCCTGAAATGTTCCCCTAGGCAAGAAGCCAGCCTGGGGCTGGGGGGGGACCTGTCCCCCAGCACAGCACGGGGCCGTGATGGGGCAGGGCCAAGGGTTGCCCAGAACATGCTGCCTGCAGCCAGCCCCTCTCAGCGGGCCATGGAGAAAACTCCCGCAGCTGTAGCCCAGCGCTTTTGCGATTAGTACAAGCGCCTTAGCCTCCTTCCTCTCTCCTCTGACTCCGCAGATTAAGGGCCGAAGCCCTGGTGCGCTGCTGGCTAGGGTCATGCTGGCGAAGCAGCCCCCCCCAGGGCTGGGGGGCAGAGCTCACCCCACGGCTCTGCTGCTCGGTACGGCCAGGAGCCCCCGGCAGCATGAGCCCCATGGCAATCCTCACCCACCTGCCCCGGCTCCTCGCAGGGCAGAGGGGGCCGCAGGCAGGGTTCCGCCGGGGGGAGGATCCGGCTAACC